TTCACCCACAGTTTCGTGGTTGTTCCTGTGTCCAGCCTGTACTGGCTCACACAGAGGGGCGAGTAATTTCTTTGTCATTGCAAGACCAGTAGCATTCTCACCTCAGTTCTCAGGAGATGGTTTTCTTCTAAATGTCCCTAAAAACATCCTTTATTTCTCTTTTAACTCCAAATAACAACCAACTAGCTTAAAAGAAACACAGAGCATAACTTAGATTAGGACATCTTATTCACAAATATCCCTTAGAAAGCACCTGAACAGTGCCAAACCTTCTGCTGCATACTTGCAGCAGGAAAGTTCATATAAACAGGTTGCAATCCTCATTTAATTTAAATTCTCATTTAATTATATACAGTCTTCAGTTGGTAAAAATCTGGCCTTTAAAACTGATAGCACATGATAGAGTTTTCCAAACATTATAGGGGCAGAGACTGTGTAAGAAATGAGTAGCAATGCTCCTATTTCCAAGCCAAAGTCATAAAAAATGAATACTAGAGTTTCAAGCTCACCTGACAAGACTTTTATCAGTCATATATTCAGTTTTAGCTAATATTTCTTTCAGAAACCACTTTATCAGCTTAGGTGTTCTACAGAAAATCTCAGAAGTGCCATTGAGAAAATCACAGATTTTTCTTTTGTTGAGAAATTTATCACATGCCCCACATGTATAAAACTCCTTAAAGAAAGGTTTTTCAGCCACCAACATAAGAGAGACGTAAATTTTGAAATCCCAGTGTAAGTGAGCTGCTGATTTCAGCTTTACAGAGCAATCTCCAGACTCTTCGACCACTCTGATTACATGGAAGTCTTCTCTCTTAGATGGACTCTGGTCAAAAATCAATCCAAAATGGAAAACTAGAACCAAGAATCTCTCAGACTTTTGGGTACACCAAGCTTATTTAGGGACTTGTTTATCACCAGCCTGGTTTTCTGGGGAACCAGGGCTTATGTAATTCTGTTTGCAGCCAGCCTGCATCAGCAACTTATGGATCCCTTTACCAATTCCAACTCAATTTGAAAGGGAAGTCATAAAGCCAATGCAATTTGGACAATCAACAAATCTAGGGCTGAGTGAACTAACCTATCCACCTGCAGGGGAAAGCAAAAGAGACTCTTTTTGTACTCTGAGAGCAGCACACCAGCCAGACAGCACATGTCCCTGCTGCAAGCATCCCTAAAGATCAGCCACAGCCTGGCTGTCTCCTACCCATAGCAGGGCTCAGGGAGTCAAAGGGGAAGGAAAAGTGGATACTGAGCGAAGGAAAAGGAAGAATAAGGCAAAGATCACAAACTCAAGGGAAACCACACTGTTGGGATTTCACAAACTGAACAATTTGCTTTACGAGTGACACAGTCAGAATCCCTTCTCATGAGACTTTACCATGCAAACATTTCTCTAATTTCACTGTATGAAAAGAGCACGACCAAATATATTAACAATATGAGACAAGAGGAAAAAACCAAGTGTACTATATATTCATTCTTCATCCAAATGTTGGTGCAAAAATAAAAAAACACTAGTTATGCACTTCTGTATGATTTAAGTGTAAGGTTATAAGTGATCAAATTGAAGCAGTTTAAGAAGCTTCTGCCTTTCAGATGAGAAAAAAAACCTGACTCTAAATAGGCGCAGTCCAATCGAAGCCAAAGGAAAATAATCTTATGAAAACAGTGTTTCAGTGGCCCCAGCAATACCAGAAACACTCTCTGTTGAAGGCAACAGTATTTTAATCTTCAATGATTAAAATAACAACTTAAAACAGCAATTTTGTCCAAAAAAACCTTGAATAGGAAAGCAAAGCTGGTATACAGGTAGGAGGAGAGCTTGGAATCTTGGATTAATTGTTTAATGAAAAGCAACTCAAGTTCCATTTTTCTTTGGAGGGCAGGAGTTTGCAGGGGTCCATGTCACCTACCCACAGGACAAACAACTGCTGCCAAGCACTGGCGACCACATTTGATTCTTTCTTGTAGCCTGATCACTGCAAGAGAAACACTACTAAGTCTTCCCTGCCCCTTGCTATAGTAAAATTGTGTCCTCAAAAGCTCTCAGTGCTGCTTGGAAGGCTAGCAGTCAGCACCCAACAACAGAAACGAAACTGGAGTGCATCAGTATTGATCCTCCATTCTACTCTTCCCACCTCCATGTAGATCTTCAAATCAAGAATGATAGAAAAATGGCACACACGGAAGAAATTAGCACTTAAAAGCATCACTGACAATCCCTGCACTTGTCTCCATCCTTTCTAATTAACTTGAAATTGCTACTTTATAAAATTCTCCCTGATGTCTGAAAACAGGTATATACTAATAAAGACAGGGGAAAAGAAGTTTTACAGTAATAAAGACAATCATTTTAATCCATGTTAACAGGTGATAAAGTTACAGCTGGTAGTAGTATTTCTGACAGACCAAGACAAAGCTGTGTTAATAACAGGCACATTTGTTTTGTTTCTATGCCTTGTTTCATACAAAGAACATGATTCAGAAAAAAAAATGCAAGGTGAATGCAAGCAATCACAAGAGGCCATTCATCATTCTGCCTACATTCTTTTATTAATACATTCACAGAACTGCAACCGTGCTCATTCCACAAGTAGTCCCTGGAGGAGGGATTAAAACAGATAACCTTTATAATTGTTCTTCAGCTGTCAGTCAGCCTTTTTTATCTGCCAGCACATGTAGACAATATCAGCTCCATTACAATGTGGCATTGGATTGAAATGATGACAACATTAAGTGGCTACTGAAGAAAAAAATTACGTAAATTCAAAAAACGGAAGTAGATAACTGGCTGCTTCTCAAATACCCGGAGCAATCCTCTTTGGTTCCACTGGTTGCTACTAATAAAAAATTACTATTTTATTTCAGAAGGCGAGAAACCCTAAGAATAAAGTAATGAAAAACACACCTTGCCGAAGTGAGTGTTCACACTGATACATCCCTGACTGAGCCATCACCTTGAGCAGGTTTACACAAACACTTGTCACAAGAGTCAGCAGCTGATCAGAAAGCCAGGCAAACCTCCTTCCCCTTTTGCTATCCAAGATCGCAGACAGGACCCCAGGTTTAAATGGAAAATCAACACTGTTATTGTATTTACTTTGATGAAACCTTTTCTCAGTGACGTTCATGAGATAAAATCACTTTGGGCCAAAATTTTTAAAATTAATCCCCGCCCCTAATTCCACAGCCTGTTTCAAGTGTGTAAACCTAAGCTAAACTTCTCCCTTTGTTTGAGAGGACTGTCACTGCTGAAAATGCCGGGCAACCTAGAATTTTACAGAAATACAAGCAACAGAGTCATCTAAATCCCAGTGTTTCAAGTGAAAGACGACTCACCACTCTGGGAGGAGCAGAACTGTTTCCCAGCATCTACAACTGAACAACATCACTGCTGTCTGCTAATGCTGCTGCCTTCTTCGTGATCACACAGCTTACCAGAAAAATGCTTGAGCAAGCAAAAAACACTCTGGGGTGAGCTGGTACCAGCTCTGCTTGCGCTCGGCTGAGAAACAAGAGGGTCCCGAGCTACAGAGGATGATGATATTATTGAGAGCTTGGAGTGCAGAAGGGGTATTTACACTGATGTTACTGAGAGTTTGAGATGTAGAAAGGGTACTCAGTGTGAGTTGGTGGGTGTGGTACAGAGTGTGTGCAGAGGCAGAAACAGCAGAGTAACTCATGTTTTTATACAGCCCTCTGGAAAAGGAACCCCTGGCAGCTTTTGAAAATAGCTGCCAGGTCGCTTGGGGAAGAAAGGAGATCTACAGAACACCCTTTTCCTGTAGGAAAAAGGGAATGCATACTGAAAAGTGCATTTCAAAGGGGAGAGGAAAGAAAAAGCCCAGAAATGCAAAACAGAAAACACTGACCTAGCAACACGGCCAGATCTGTGTTCGATATGGAGTGGGAAAGAATTGTTCTTACATCAGCAGGCATTCACAGCATACCACATAAGGAGATGGGGAAGTTGGAGGCCACTGCTGGTATGCTCTACCACAAGAACATGGAGCATTGCTGTCACCAGCAACGTAAAACTTGATCAAAATGCATTTTCTACATTGCCATGAGAAAGAAGGCATGGAAACAAGTCACCCCTCATGGCAAGCTGTTTCTGTTCACACTGAATACAGTCTCGTGAAAACGCATTTTATAACCCACTTGTAGTCTTTTATTCACAAATTTATTTCATCAACAGAACACCTATCAGCTCCAGCATAGTTAAGAATGTCACCAATACCCACCCAAACATACAGAGATCATACACAAGGATTGCTTGAAGCAGCAATCAATGTTAGTAGCATTGATTAAGCCAGTTGTGAGTTAACGCAGACACCCAAAAAGCAGAGTTAATCCTGTACTTTTTATAAAAGCAAAATTCTGCCTTCCTAATGCTTTTTATGGAGGAAAAAAAGAAACTGAAAATCAGTTGTTTAGGTTCTTTAAGTTTTTTTTTTATAATGAAGTCCTGATGAAAATCATTAGATGAACAATGACAGCGTTTTCTAGTTGCAATTTAAGTATTGCTCAGAGCCCCATCCAACCTGGTCTTGAACATATCCAGGGATGGGGCATCCACAACTTCTCTGGACAACCTGTGCCAGTGTCTCATCACCTTCACAGTAAAGAATTTTTTTCCTAATATCTAATCTAAACCTCTGTCAGTTTGAAGCCATTCCCTCTTGTCTTGCCACCACAGACTTTTGTAAATAGCCTTTTTCCATCTTGTAGGCTCCCTTTGGGTACTGGAAGGCCACAATATATCTTTATACACACAAATCTTTACTTTCCATAAATACAGCATCTGCTGAATTTTAGTTCCCCGATGTGCTATTCTGTATGTGATACCTCAGATTTTATTGTGGATTAGAAGTTTGTTTTCTCTCACAAATTCACATTGAAATTATTTTCAGTGCTTTCAACTCATCTTGAATTGAGGTATTGCTAAACAGACCCAATTAGTTTAATAAAAAGAAGGCAACATTCAGTCTAGCAAAGTCATTCATTATAATATTTATTGTATGAAACAATGAAGAAAATGTAAGATTAAAAAATGTTCCATGCATTTCATAAAATACAGGGAAAGACATGCCATAAACAAAACAGAATAAACAAGCCAAACCCCCACTGAAAATCCAGAGAGCTCCACTCTCCACATTACATCATATGAATACAAAAAGCATATCCAGGAGAAAGAGCAGTCTGAAGAAAGTGGCAGGTTATCTGTAAATAACCAGCATGAGTAAATCAGCCCACGAGAGTTTTGCCATTACCTTTCTTATCATAAAACTGATGCCACTTGGTTTTTTTGCTACCAGTTCTTGGCATTAACTTTGGCTGGGAAACCAGGACAACGCAGCAGAACCCATTTTAAGTTGATGTCCAGGAAAGTACTAGGGCCCAAATTGTAGGGAGCTACAGAAAGATAGCAGGGCCCAATGGGTGAGAGGGAATGTCTGGAAGCAAGATGCAGGGACATGCTTTGACTATCCTACCAGAAGCACGGGAGGTGGAAAATATATTCAGTGAAAGAAGTATGGGCAGAAGCAGGAAATAAATCTAGTACCTCTCTTGAAGAATCCCTATCACATGCTGGATTACAGAAGGATGCTGAGAGCAACATCTTCATTTAGGTTACAAATTACATTGCTATAAACCTTCTTACTAAAAGCTTTTGATTCATTTCCTTCTCCCCGACCCACAGTACTACTCTGTTTGGCTTTAGCAAAGTTGTTCTGAGATCCTCCTCTTGCTTTTACTCTACAGAACCTCCCAGACTCCCACAATGGTTAACAACCACGTAACTACCAAAACCAAAGCCAATCTAATTCTGGGCTCTGATATAAAAGCAGCCCCCATTTCGTAAAGGGAATTCCCAAGAGCTGCCATAGCTGTATTTGGGGAGGGTGGTGTAGCGAAAGAAAGAACAATGCTCCACTTACACAAACACCTACTACCCCAAAAGCCCCACTCCACACAGCCTTAGGAACACCATCAAAAGAGTTTCACGTGGGGAGGAGCAAAGAGAAGACAGCGGACTGGGATCCTTGCCCCTGCATCTGGGGATGCATCCACTCCTCAGAACAGCATTCTTCTGCCAGCTACCGAGGTATCTCTGCTGCAGTGCGGAAGGTTCTGCATTGGCCTCCTGTCAGTGATGCATCACAGGGGAAGACTGTTATGGTTAAAAATGTGATTTTCACGTTGATTCTCTCAAACATAAAGCTAGGAATCCCTATTTTTAAAGAAAATTTCAGCAGAGTGTAATCTAGCCTGTAGCATGAAATATTACAAAATTAGAAGCAGTAAGATATCGAATTGCCCTTTGCTACATCTTAACTCTCTCCCTTTGCATGTACATATCAGGAATATGACTATATCACGTGATCTTTTCACCTTCCAATTTCCAGAATAACCTTATTTCATTCCCTGGACATGCACAAATGAGTCAGAAGGAAGACTCTGTAGGAAACGCCAAGTCCAGCATTTCTCACCTCTGAGTGCTTACAGCTGGAATACTGGTTTTTTGATGGAGTTTTTAAAATTCAGTTATGCTTTATGTGCTCCGTTTACCTCGCATTAAGAAAACAGAAAATGCTGTAAAAGATTAAGGTATCAGGTCTTCACAGGCCTTAGTGAAACACAAAGATTGAGTCTTCTTTTAAAGTAACTGCCCAGCTTCCTGTCTAGTGTAGTATCTGTGTTGTCCATGTAAACATTACACAGAGTCTTTGTACCACCCACAAAGCTCTTTGCTTCAATCAACTATTTGTGCCCAAAAGCACATCCTTACGTTTCTTCCTACACCACAGCCATCCTCCTACACCATAAAAGATGTAAAAAAACCCAGGAATTAAGCACAGGCTGGATACTTACAGGGATTGCTGCTGTTTGCTTCCGTCTTCCCAGCCTTAGCAAGTTTGGTTGAGTTCTGCTGTGCTTTGCCTTGCTCCTCTCCAGTTAGCAGGGCTTTTATTTCAGAGGGGATTTTCCCTTGGTCCATTGCCATGCACCACTGCTTGTACTGAAATATGCAAACACATTAGGCATTAGCAAACTGCCAGGATCACATTAGCAGACAAAACAGAGCTCTAATCTTTACCTTCCGGTATATTCATTTAAAGTCTGAATTTACTGAGCTGAAGCCTCTTATGAAACTGCAGAGCACTAATGAGCTAAGCACGTGTCCACGGTTGCATACCTGGCCTCAGCAAATCCTGTTTCAATCAATAAACTGCTACTCAGTGGCCATACTGGACAGAATACTGTAATTATTAAACAACATGGAACACTTTGTGCAATTTCTTGCTGCTGACATGCAAGAATACCGTTCCAGTTCATGGCCTATTAAAAACAAATATTTCACATGACTGTGCAGCTGATGGACTATTAAGAGGTCCTTTCTGATTGTGCAAGGCACAGTTGCAGCACATGTGCCTTATTCCTAGCTCCCTCATCTTAAATTCTTCACTGCCAAACCCAGAAGCACATCAAAAAACCTGTGGGCAGCTGGCTGATTCTAAACCTATTCACTTGTGATTAGCGCTGCCTACTCAAAAAAACCTAAAGCCAGGTCAAGGCAATATCCTCAGCTCCAGTGAAATTTCAACAGCACCTCAATATCACTGAGGAGATGTGTCTGATTTCCAAATGAAACATTCTCTTTGGTTAATGCTGCTTATTTTGCCAAGACACCCATCTTCCATGTGCTGGAAAACAGGACAGCTGTGCAACCATCTATACAGAGAGCATGCTGCAAGAATCAACTTCCCCAACAGAGAAGCAATGACACACTGTGCATTTATGTTCCCCCTTGATATATTAACACATCTCTTTCCACCATCTACCTGTTTCTACATCTGCCAAAGGTTATTCAAAACAAGTATTTCAAAGACAACAAGACTCAAATGCAAGGGCACTTTCTTTGCTTGCTTCCTGTTCAAAACCAGCAGATAACTCGTGACATGAAATTCATATTCTACACACCGAAGCAGGCAAACAGCTGGATGCATCTGATGTTTTGATACCTTCTGGCCAGCCAAATGCCACTGTCAGTCACTGTGACTTTGAGAAAAAAATGTTCATGAGCACAGGTCCCAAATAACACTGAGGATTAGGTCAAATGATAGTTTCTTACCATTTCAAGCTCTTCTCTGAGAGCACAGATGGCTCGCTCTCTGCTTGAAACCAGTTCCTCCAGGTACTGGTACCTCAGCTTCTTCCTGGCTCTGCACTCCCTTGCACTCTGACGACTTCTTTCAAGTTTTGCCTTCAGATCTATTTTGGCCGGTTTACGACCTCGTTTGCCTGGTTTCTTTACCTTGCCTCCAACCACCTGGAAAGGAAGGGCACAATAAAGATCCTGTTCTGCAAAGGTAATGCTGTGACCACGTGATTGCAACTCCTCGGTGTCTCAAGTATAAAATCTTGCATGTGCATCCACTGATTCTGGAGCAACAGAGAAAATATGAATGCTGATGTATGAAGTTTTCAGCAACAGCATTAAAAACAAAAGGGAGGGGTATGATTTCACAGTGAAGTGATTAGGCAGCCCTGTTGTAAATGCTACCAATCTGATTTGGAGCTCCACAAGATTGGCTGAGGTTGGCAAGGACCTCTGGAAGGCATCTGGACCAACCACTCCAGCTCAAGCAGGGCCAGCTGCCCAGGACCATGTCCAGATGACTGTTAAATATCTCCAAGAAGGGAGACTCCACAATCCCTCTGGGCCACCCATTCCAGTGCTCAGTCACCCTCATAGCAAAAAAACCCAAACATTTCCTGATGTGCAGATGGACCCTCCCGTGTGGCAGTTTGTACCCACTGCCTCTGGTCCCACTTCAGTGTACACTGAAGAAAGCCTGTCTCCACCTCCTTTATACCCTCCCTTCCAGGCATTTGCACACACTGGTGAGATCCCCTGAGCTTTCTCCTCTCCAGGACAGATGGTCGTGGCCTTTTCAGCCTTTCTTCACAGGAGAGATGCTCCAGTCCCTTCATCATCTTAAAGGCCTTTTGCTGGACTCTCTCTGGTGTCTCCATTTCTCTCTTGCACGGGGGAGCCCAGAACTAGACACACTATTTCAGATATCTAGGAGGGTATCTGGGACATTGAGGAGGCATAGTCAACTTGTAGTGAAATTAAGTTTAATATCACCAACAACTCATGCTCTAGTACTTGCCAGAAATATTAGAAAAATTATATTATCTACAAATATTATACTATGCAGTTTAACATTTTATTTTGGAAGAAAATATAATCAATATAATCCAAAACTTAGTTTTGCTGCAATCAACAGTTTCAGCCTACTCCAAAGATGAAGCTTGTCAGAATTATTCACTAGCCATCTGAGCTTACTTGGGCCATGTTTCTTTCAGAGGAATCTTCTGAGGAGTTTTACTCAATCACACCAGGTCCTACCTCTGCTGCCTCTGCTCCAGCAGCACCGAACCACTCTGGCCATGGTGGCCTTCAAAACATTATTACACAGCCTGGTGTGAGTCTCCTCACACAACCCATCAGTGTTCAACTTTCTCTATACCTAATTTAGATCTCCCTTTCAGAAATAGAACTCCCTAGTTTCTTGCCCTATGGAATGTAGATTTTACAATCATTTTCCCCTCTTCTTTGTGCCTCCTTTTTAAAAGGTCTGAAAGCCTCTCTTGCTACAGCTAAAATAAATTTTTTAAAAAAGGAATAGTTTCCCCTGTGTTTACTCTGTGCTTCCCCACCCAAATATTTTACTCTTAACATGGGAGCATGGCACAAGATAGTTTTAAATAGGCTCTGAAGCTTACTTCACTGGTCATTGGGTAGTATCACCCTGTAAGCATTACATCAGCCACACACCCCAGCTCCAGTCTGAAGTGAGGATTTCTCTTTATTTGCATTCTGACCACACTGTTTGAATGGAGGGGGTGTGGGGAAACACACAACACACACACCTGCATAGAAGAATTTCACTGCTGCTTAGTATTTCACCATGCTGTACACAGATGGGACTTCTTCTAATGGGCAGTGTTCAAAATATCAGAGTTCATAATAAAAAAAAGGCACTTTTACTGTGTAATGCTACAAAATAAGAAATTGTCAATATTCAAAGAAGTCACTTGTTCTACAAACTTAGCAGGCTGTAATAAAAACAATAACATGGTGAATTGATGTGCTAGAATGAAGAGAAAAAAAGGACTATACAATTCAGCCTATTCTTTCTTTGAAAAGTGAGACAACAATCACATGCCAACATAATCCTACCCTCCCTGTATTGCCTCTCCTAATTTATTCAGGAGTAGCTGCCTACCATAAGCAAATGAAGGAACAGAAAGTACTTAATGGACATCTATGATAATGAAACGAACACAATACATTCATAAGAGCAAAGAAAAATCAAGCTCTTTTACACTTTAACTGCTGAATACAGTTTGGATAATCCACTCACTCCACCAAGTACTTCAATTCTTGAAGACTTTTAGCACCTGAGGCCTTTCTTTTTTCTTTTTCTTGTATGGTGAACTACCAGTGCAAGGTAGTTCAAAGTAAATCTTTGAATTCAAGAGCTAGATAAGGTCTTGTAGAGAGGTACACTCCAGCTCTCTTAAAAAAACCTTTGCCACTGAGTTCTGACCCTCTAGAACTAGAGTGAGCTAGTTTTTTAGGCTGGAGCCCCAGCACACCCCACACTGCTGTATAACTCAAGTCTTAGTCCAGCACAGGAGCAGTCACAGCCATGCCCTTGCACCACAATGTCGGGCAGGTGAATAGTTCCCACCACGCTGTTTCTCACACACAGCAAGTTAAAGACTGCTTAGCACATTGCAAATGCATCCTGGATCCACCATTACCAATGAATTGCTTTCCCTTTAGTCACTCCAGAGAGCTTTCTACAGTACAGGTGTACTAATGGCTCTCTCTCCAAGATCTTTTACCACTGCAGCAATCCTGCACACAGGCTCTCTTATGGCAGGAAAAAGGCTTGTAAACCTTTTGGGGTTTTGACCCTAATAATCTCACTTCACACCATCCCTAAAGAACACATACTGTCTTTATGGCTCCTGGAGTTCACCATACAATTAAGGATCACACTGCAAAGTTGGTTTGGTGAGCCATTTAATCAAATCCTGCATCATCATCGCTTTTCCCTTGCCAACATTTAAAAGCTCCTGCTGTAACCTTAAGCAACCCAGCTGGGGAAAAAAAGGCCTGGGAAATCCTTTGCCCCCATCCAACATTACCATATCCCCCTGGCTTCCAAGTCATGTTTGCCTACTCAGTTGCTATGCTGATGTGACAGAAAGAAGACAAAGCAGAAGTGATAGTTGATGTCGAACATGGCAACAGACCAAGAAACAAGCAGGCAAACATTTTTTGTCCCTTTGTATTCCTCTGGAGTTTATAAAGGGATGTGATCTATTAGCATTCAGCAGTAGGAATTTGGGGTTTTTTCCATGGAGTCACGAGTCATAAGCAATCAAGACCCAGAACAACATGAATTATAAAATTTGACACAGAAATATTAGTAAAGACATGCATTAGTTAGAATATATGACCAAGCCCCACTTCAGTTCACTCAGACTTCAGAAAACGGAAAAACATAATTCTTTCCCCAAGGCACATGGTGTGATTCTTGGGGTGTCCTGTGCAGGGCCAGGAGTTGGACTGGATGATCCTGAGGGGTCCTTTCCAACTCAGCATATTCTATGACTCTAAGATTTTCTTTTTAATACAGTACCTAGATCATTCTTATCTGCCATCAGTGTTCAACCACAAAGTTATGTGACCTGGAATTGGAAATAGCTGCAATTACTTGACCTGACGTAGAAAATCTCTCACATTTCTGGATTTTTTTATTAGAAGGATGCAGCAGCTACAAAAGCACTTCCAGAATGCGTGACAGAGAGTCCTCCTTAGGAAGGAGATGCATACATAATATAGTTACTAGCACTCACAGCCCTGAGGAACCGAGCCCCTAAAGCAGCCTCATTGTGACATCTGCAGGTTTTAAACAATTTGGCAGATTAAAACAACACTATCTGAAGTGTCAAAGCAATGCTGATCACATTGACCAGTTCAGCATTTTCCAGCAGCTCAGAGCTCATTCACCAATACAAAAGCAGTTCTATCAAACAGTAGTTGAGATCCAGCTCAAAGAATCATCTTAAGTGGACTCTTCTTTGCATTAGCAGCTGAAGGTACAGGTGCGCAGAATTCAACTTAACATGGAGCTGATGACCATATACAGAATTCATATAAAACTGTAAAAATGATTAGTAAGAAATGAAACCTGAGTGCTGCATTACAGTAGAGGGGAGAGGAATCTATTCACGCTGGCAAACATTTTCTCAAAATCAAAAAGCAAATGAAGTTAGTCACAAGTCTGCTAATAAAGACGAAGCTTTCTGATCTTCCAATTCAAAGTATACCATTTACAGCAGCAGTACAAAACCCAGCTGGAAAGTATGCTTGTTATTCCTCCATTGCATGACATTTTATATGCTTAACATAGATTTAACTTTCACTAGCAGACAAAATGCTTCCCATAACGATCCAAAAATGTTAAGATACTATTTAGTGAGCAAACACTATATGTCTTAAGCTGGTATGTCAACAGACATCTATCTTAAAACCCTAATGATACAAAGTGATTAACATACTAAGAATGTAATCTTATGCACAAATGCATAAAGACTGTCTTTGCTGCAACGTCTATTTAAAAAAGCATTAGCTAGGAATAAATATCAAGAGTTTTCATAAGGGGTTACACAGGCACCCAGAAGTCAAGATGGGTAAGCACTAAGGTTCAGGGCAGCAATCAACCAGATACCACCTTCCTGCTCAAGAGGTGAGAGTCCTCCTCTTCCCCCAGGGAAGGACCTACAGCCTCACCCATGGAAGCACGTCCACCACCGTACACATTCTGCCAGTTCACACTAACAGAAGCCAGGCACTTCTTTAAACCTGTCTCTGTTGGAGCTCAGAACAGACACAGGGATGGTCAGCTAACTCTACCACGTGTATCCTCCTAGTTCACTGCAACAATGAAATAAAACTGCTCTAGTTATTTTATAGGGTTTAAGCTCATCCGTTTTACTCATTCATTGAAAATATGAGCAGACGTGCCACCATCTGAGCGATGCCAAGCAGCACCCTCTTAAAACATTTAATGACTTCAAATTGCTCATATAAAATTATAACCAAAGCTGCTCAGGTTTTATTTTGCCAAGCAAGCAGCAGTGAGAACGCTTTATATTCAGATATGATCCTGGGTGGAAAACTTCCCCAGCACATTGCAAATCTACATGTTCTGAAAAAGCCCTGAAGGGTGAAAACTTAGCAGCCCACCTCCTTAACAACCGAGGTGACTCCACACTAGCTCTCAGTCCCTGCTGTGGTATTCAAAGCATTACCCAGAGTAGATTCCAGGATTGCCTGGGAGATCACTCTCTCTGTGATCCTTGTCACACACAACAGCAAGGGCCACAGGCAGACACCTGCTGTAAGACATCTCAGGGGTGAAGACTCATCAGGTTCTCTATTGGAAGCACATCTGCCTTGCTCCCACACTTCCTCCAAGGGACATCTGTATCCCCAGAATTATGACTCAGGACCAGACAGGACTGAGTATTTGATGTTTCAAAGGTAGGCTTGTGTGCAGCCTTTTGCAGTGGACCTTCCCCTGCTCTAACACCAAGCACTCCCTTAAAATGGAAAGGCTGTATGAACACCAGAGCAAGGCATCAACAGATGCTCAATCCATACATGTAAATGCCCCATATAAACAGTTTATCTGAGGGCTTGCTTTTTCAAACTCAGGTAACACCTAAAAACACTCTGAGCTTACCTATTTAAAGGCTTTTCTTTCACTTCACACATTGCAAGTTTGTGGAAGTTTAGAAACAGTCAGACTTCAAGACCAATATCCTTGCCCAAGTCCCTGGAAGCAGCTTGGGAAGAGCAAACAAACCAAGCTGGAGACCTGGCTTTAAACAGCCACTGCCTCTTTTACAAGATTGAAGGAATTTGTTTCTTCATTTGGAGGATGCAGCAATTTATTTACAAGCAAAAAAAAGCCAACAACCAAGAGCCAATTCCTTCAAAGTTGAGAAACTGACCCAGAACTAAAAGTGGAACTAAAAGTGCGCGAGATCAGAGATCTGCTCTCTCAAAAATCTGAAGAATGGACCTGTCTATTGTCATCAGAACTGGGTGACAAAAGGTTTCCCTAAGCCTTCCTTTGTATATCCAACACATGTAAGTATCTGCCTTGAACTAACAAGGCATTTAAAAAAAACTGTTGGGTGCATTTCATTGAATTTTCATTCCCCTTCAAAAATAGTAATCAGTTACTACATTCCACTGCTAATATTAAGAATGATGCAGTATACATTTTTTCCTCCCCAAATCCCACTTTAAATTAAAAAATAACCTTTAAAATATATTTGTCTCCAAAATGCACTTTTTTCTTAAAGCTCAATCTAATCATTTGGCTCAGTTCAATTTATTTTTGAAGAAAAATACATTTCATGTAAACTTTTTGAAAACTAAAGCTATCTTTTCCATACAAGGCAAGAATATTTGTAATAATAGAGGGTAACCCCAACGGTTTTGGGTGGTGGTTTGGTTTTTGTTTGCTTGTTTTTAATTTCACTGGAATAACAAAAGTGATCTGATGTTAAAACCTTTTTTTATTTCTCATTTCTAGCTATAAACTGAAAAGTTAACTACCCAAATAAGTATTGCCAGAGCATTCCCTATAAAAACTTCCATAATTAATACAAAAGATTGCAGTTAGCTATATAAAAAAGTTTATTTTAATGGTTACCAACTAGACTTATCAGCTAACAAAAATATGCAAAATACTTCTTACCCCAGTTCAAACTCTCTGCTTCCCAATGTATATAATAAATACATAATAAGTTATATGTAGTCTTCCAAACTAACCAAGTAATTTCACCCATAAACGTTGAAATTACCATAAGAGTTCCTCTTTTTTACTGTGTCTAAATACTTCAGAGGTGCACAAGTGTTGTTTTAACAGGAATTAATTGCCAAGGAACAGCTACATCACTAAACTCTTTCCCTTACACAATCCATAGCTCAAACCACAGCAAGAAGTGAGACCAGTACCCGAACAAGCCTTAGTTTCAAGTAAGGTCTACAGCAGAAAAGGTGGTCATATTTGGGGTTTGGTTTGGATTTTTTTTGTGTGCATAATTTAAGACCATCCTTCAGAACTGAAACATGAAATTTTTCTAGATCTGATGTTCAGCTATTCTACCTCTCCCTTTCTCACTATTTCTTTCCAATTAAAGGAATATGTTAACAAGAACCATTTTTCTAATGCTCTCCTAAACCAGATAAGGCTAAATTAAAGTGCACAACGAATTAAGGAAAACATTACAGCATGCAAGCCCAATTCTAAATTAATTATGCCATGCAGACAAAGGAAAACACTGAACTTGGGTTCAGGTAGCTACAGAATGGTTACCTCACTACTAATGAAATTTAGTTGTCTCTGTTCTTACGAGGAAATTCCTTTCATAGTTGTTCAGTTCACAGACAAGACTCCAATTATGCAGGCCAACCCCCTCAACAAGGAGGAAAGCATGACTCAGTGGAATTTTTAGGAGATTTCAAGGACACGATGGCTCAAGTTGTAAGACCGCAGCGGCTACAAAATGAGGTATAAATACTGCTTACCTCATCCTGACACGGCAACCTGCAATGGGAAGAGCCCTCCCAAGAGAAATGGCATCTCAAATGGAATCACCAAACCCTCAGGGCAACCTTTAGTCTCTCGACTCGCCCTAGCCCAGGTCTGGAGCTTTACGGCAACGCCAGAAGTGGCATCCAAGAGCTGCAAGCAAAGGAAACGAAGGGGGCAACCCCTGCTTCCTGGCGGCTGCAGCGACCAGAGCCCTTCGAGAGGAGATTTCAGCAGGTTCCCTGCACCAAGAGCCTCGCCGGCCGCGCTCAGCTCCGGCTCCAAGGTGAGCCCCGCAGGCCCTTACCTTGCTGTCATCCATGTGTGCCGCCACGAGTCCGCCGCGCCGCAGCTCGAGCCCGGCAGAGCCGCTTGCCCGCTCGCCCGCAGCCCCGGCGGACGGACGGACGGACAGACAGCCGACGCTCAGGACACCTCAGGGCCGCCCGCGGCTGCCGCCATCACTCGCCGCCCTGTTTGTTTACAGCCGACGGGCGCTAGGAGGGCGGCGGCGGAGCGGTGCGCGGTGGGAAGTGTAGTCTTGCCCGGCCCCGCCGCCTTTGGCCGCTGCTCCGGCGGGGCCGAGAAGAACTACAACTCCCAGCAGGCCCAGCGGGGAGAGACGCGGTGATTTGCCCTCGCCTATCTAAGCGGGGGGACTACATTTCCCAGGAGGCCCCGCGGCAGCTTAATTTGTTGTTTCGTGGGTTTTTGGTCTTTTTTTTCCTAATGTGCCGTCCCGCGGCAGCTCACGGGCCACCTCGGTGGCTCTATAACGATGACCAGGGGCTGGCGGGGGCTGCCCGTCCGACCCTGCGCACGGGCTCTGGAGCTCCGAGCCCTAAATCGAACCCCGGGTTTGCTGCTCCTGCTGTGACCGCCCCCGGTGCCTCCTACGTGTCCCCCGTGTCCCCGCCGGCCGCTCTGCCCTCACCAGCCCCCGGTCAGCGTTACGGAGCCGTGGGCTTGGCAGCTGAGCAGCCGTCTAATGGCTCGAGCATTAGGTAAACAAAAAAAACCCCAAACCACAAAACAACAAATTAAGTTTTCTGCCGTTGTTTGCCTTGCTTTACCCTAAGAGTTCCTGAAGACAGAACCAAGTCTTCCAAGCCACCTGGACACACTGCGTGGTGTACTGAGCTCCTCGGCTACCGCACGGCTGAAGCAGTCCCTGCAATCCTTTGAGAATACCCGGGTTCCTCTCATTTTCCTATCGACGCATGGCAGAGAATGTTAATATTGAATGCCTGATGCAAAGCCAAGCCATGCATCGTCCTGTGTCTGTCCTACCCCCCAGGTCCCTTGAAATTAGGCTTCTGCTTGCTCGAAAGACACATGTAGCCCAGCTCACAATTTCATAAACATGGTCAGTGTTTCAATTTGGCAGTGAAACCTGAAGCTAGGCATGTTTCATGTTGCTGCATGTTTCTTTTTATTCATGCAACTCTATTCACAGGAGTTTCCCATGACTTAATCTCTCTTACATGCAATTGTTAGGGCTAAAGGCTTTGTCATGGGATTTTCCCCCTGAATCACAGACCTTCCTCTTGGAAGGATATACTTTCTAGATGGCAGAGACAAAGAACTTTCAGAAGCTTTTTTTTTTTCTCTTATATGCTTTTCAGTTGTCAAAGACAAGCCAGTTTGCTCACTTTGTATTTGCCTGTCCAAAAACAATGAATCAGTTCTGGCAACTCCCCTCTGAAATAATAGTAATAAAAAATCAGGGTTGATCAGTATGTTAAGCAGGAGGTGTCAGCTAATAAAGTAGCAGGAATTGCTCACTGTGAGCTTGCCCAGGTTGCCTCCTGTGATCCCTCCCCTATCTTTGCCTTCAAATTCTTCAAGAAGGTGGTGAGGTGCCTCATACCGCCTTTGGCACTATCCTGGGGCCATAAAGCTGACTTTAAAAGTCAGTTGGGGGTTTCCCCGGTGAAGGGAAATATTGAGTGGCAAAGAGCCAACACAGCTCACTTAGGCAACCCTCTGTTGCAACATGAGTGGAGGAAGGAGATTAGACAGAGCCCTGATGCTGATTCAGAAAGACCAGAATCCTTTTAACCAGCAAATTAAAGTTATAGCTGCATCTTTTCTTTCCACTGGATTATCCCACACTACTCCTTCTGCTTTATATCACTTAACGAAGCAGAGCTCTCAGCTTCAAACCAGGATAAGCACAAGTTCCCTGCCTAAGCACTTAAGAGCTTCTATATTTTAGCACAGAACAACTCAAAATAGGCATTTCAGTCTTCTTTCTACTATGGTTATGCTGTCCCCCTGGATGAATATGGACATGAAAGTTGAGTGGGAGCCTGTCAGAAAGAACAATTGTGAATGAAACTGAATATTATATATATGCACATATATATAGCACATAAGATTATGACATTTGAAACTGATTTCAACAGCTAGAAGTAGTACTTCTTTACACAGTATATAGTGAACTCTTGGAGTTTACTACCAACAGGACAGCGTAAAGCAGAGAGTACTGCAAGTTCAAAAAGGGATTAGATATGTTTATGTCTCATAAAGAGGTACCAAGGGGATGTATTCTCCACCATCCCTAATCTAACTGGGATACTGGGGATGTATGAGAGGAAGAGACGCACAAGAGAGCAGAAAAAGGCCAAGTTCACCATATTCTCCCTAAAAAGTGCCTCCTCTTAAGGACCAATAGTCTGACTCAGCAGATCTTTTTTTTGTTGTTGTCTAACAGGTCACCATTTTGACCCCCAAAGACTCACAAATGATAAGATTTTTAAGTAAAACCTCCTTGGTTAAACCCAGTGTCACAAATCATCTTATGCAATACCTATGGGCAGGTTCCTGCTGCAAATTAGTTATATTTATTAAAAGAAGGGTTGTGCTTCTGAGATCCAGAGAGACTTTGAAGTATATAAATAAAGTGGGTTCAGGCAATACAGTGGCAATCAGGGTACAGTTTAAATATCACTGCTTATGTCAGCGTGACTTAAAAAGATATATAACTCACAGGGTGATTTTGCACCATGTGCTCATATTTGCAGTGATGTCAATAGATCCTTAAAGGGTGTTTATTCTCTCTAGAACTGGAAATGCTTTAATTTGGGCAATTCAAAATCTGTTCCTCTGAGAGCCTGCCTGAAATAAGAATAAATCTTGCAATGTTTTGGCATCAAGGCTCAGCATTTTACTGAAATTGCTCCACTGTACATTTGTGGAGTCTTTAGCGATTCAGAGCCTTTGAGATTAGTTCATTTATAGATATAAAGGCAAAGATTAAGGTATTTTCTTGTCTGTTTTCCAAATGTACTGAGATGCTAATTGCTTTAATAGAGATGCTAACTCATTTGCCATGGGGCAAAGACTGCATGAACAGCTCGTCTTTCAATCCCTTGGGATTTTGGAGGTCTTTTTGTAGAACCGATAGAGAAATTGCATTTTTCTACATCCTTTAATCCGACATCCAAGAAACATTTCTGGAAATACAAGAAATTCTCTGTCTTTCAGTTTGTAGAGTCTGTTGATACTGAGACAGAGAACACCTTTAACTTTTCGTTTATACTCATCAGGAAAAGTATTTGTCAGCAAGGAGTGACAAAAAAATGTTTATTTACATAATAGTCTATATCTTATTTTTTTAAATATAACTGTGGTAAAAGTATACCAGTTTATTGTTTTGGATTTTTTTTTTTCATTAGGGAAATCAGCTATATAGTCTAAAGCTCTGGAAGACCTGGTAAAAAACACATGAACAGCACATGCTCACAAGTACATTGATTGATCACCTCCATTGGTGATGATTAAAAGAAAATTCTATTTAAAATAAAAGCTCTTTGAAAGTTGGCTTTTAAATCTAATCGGTGTTTGAAGGAAGCACAGCACATTGGAAACCTGATCTGTGACTATTTCCTATACACTGTGTAATTAAATGTTGATAAGGGGTTACTCTCATATTTGCTAAATGTTCTACTTTGTGACAAGATGAGGGCCTTCTGTGGTTGCAAATGCTCGAAGTCAGCTCTACAACAGGAGTTCTTCCTATTTAGCTATTGCAAATGTACTTCTCAAGTAAAATGGACTCAAAATAAGATAATTTGGAATAATCAGCTTTTGTCCTGTGCATACACACAGGCAGAAAAGTTACAGCTTTATCTAACCAAACTAACTTTCCCACATAAGCAGAATCTTGAGACAGTGCTCATGATGCTTTTATATTGCTGAAGGGATAGACTATGTGTAAATTAAAATATTGCATGAAAATGTTCATGCTGCAGTTGGAAAGGAGCTACTTCATATTTTCTAGCTCTAGTAGAAGGGAGAAAAAGAAGTCAGATGATCACACACATAATTGGTAGTTCCAAATATGATATGTGAGGAGAACCAGGAATGGTTCAAAAAGTTATTCGAAAAACATGGGTTTCATGCAAAATTTAAACTAAATATGAGAAAGTGAGAACCATGGAGCAAGGCAAACAAATCACTGATTAGGAAGATGACAAAGAGTGGGTTAAATTTCAATGAGGTGCACAAGTGAATCAAATTTAATCTTGTTCCGAAACAACAAACAAACAGAGCAGCACAATATGCCACGTTCAGGAATGTGAGAGCCATGTTGTATCTGGCACTTGAACAACAGGGAATTATTGCTGCTCATATGGTAATTGCAGAGGTACAGAAAAAAAGTGGGTGGATCATGTGAAATTCATGAAATACTTGAGGTGAACTTACAGCAGGATTAGTCTTTTAATTGTGTGCATTGATCTCTACGCACAACTGGTTTACTAAAAAGGCATATTGTTCATTCTCAAGAGGTTTAAAAATCCACTTCAGCTCGGTGTCTTGTTTTTTTGGTTCCTAAGATATTTTGCAACGTGCTCCTCCCCTTTGGCCTACGCAAACAAATATGCCTGCACAGCCATACCTATTAGAGCCAGCCAAAATCTGCTGTTAGTAGCTGGCCATCCTGGTAAGAGCATTTCTGGCTGCCACAACAACACATAAAGTAATTTTAAACAGTTTTGTCCAGACCCAGATTCTGTGGCATGGGCTGTGCTCACATGCAAAACATTTACTAATCTAAGTCTGATACTGTTGTCTTGTCCAAGGGCATAAACAAGGTTTCTGCATAGCTTAAGCAAAAACTGAAGGACTTGTATGGCAAGCTGCATTGTAACTGGGTCAGAGGACTTCCATGATGACCTTGACTACTTTCAGAAATGCCATTGTCCCTCAAGTGAAGGGTCAGGTCATCAGATACAGCACTTTTCCCTGGTCTGCACTGCTCACCCCATCTTAAGTCAGCATCATATCGGCTAATTTCTGTTTTGCAACTGTATTGAAGAGTATTGGGTTTCCTAGTACTGTTGTAACTGCTGATGAGCTGTGTATTTGTGTTTAATGAGATTTGTGTTTAATGAGACTGCTCAGGTGAACAGAAGTTATTTACAGGATCAAAAGCTGCACCACCAAAAGCGCTGTGTTAATTTGTAATAAATGTAA